TATTTTAAATTTTAAAAAAAGTAAATCATAAACAAATTTATAGCAATTTTTCAGGCAAATTTGCCTGGAATTGTCTATAGTTTAAGGGATAGTAAATAGATCTGCAGTATTAAATATTTGCAACAATATAAGAAAAATAAAGAAAAGAATTTGTAGTAGTAATTTAAGAAATTATAAAAATTATTTAAAAATAGCAAAATGTCAATATTCACACTGCAGTTAGTAATACTATCATGATATATTGGGTTTAACATACTACTAGTAGGATTCGAATATACAGCTCTGCAGTGCCATATATATAACTACTATACTACAACCTAGTGTTGTCATGTGGACATAGACCAGACATAGACACAGACCGGACTGGACGTCTGCGTCCATATCCCAAAGATGTGCAGACATTTGGACATTATCTGCAGTGATGTCATATGAACCGGCTGAGACCAGACAAATCGTTCATATCCACCGCCAAAGATGGGGTAGACTTTGGACATAACTAATTATTTTACTAGTAACACATGTACATAGCATAATTTTTATAAGTATCATTATACTAACAAATACAATTTAGCACTATCTCATGCGGTTTTATACATAGATCTAAACACCAAGTTAAACTATATATTTTATTTAAATTGTTTGTATAGTAAAATAATTTGTAATATACTTTTAACTGCACTAATTTGAAATATTTTACTCTATGTATGACTAGAATTCGAATATAATCATACTGTAGAATGCTGCATTCAGTACTTGTACAAATCAAAAAACATATCTAACTTGATTTGTGCCCAGAGATATCGCGTGAGAAAAGAGATAAAATCCAAAGAGAAGAATTTTGAAAGATTTTTAGGTAGGGGTATATTTATTTGCAGAAGTAATTACACAAACTTAAATTGATATTAATAACAATCAAGAGACTTTAATTTGGTAGATACTATTTTAGGAGAGTAAAGAATGCAATGCTATATGGTAATTAGTGAACATATAGGGCTTTGTAGTTAAGGTAATTGTAATTTGTTAAAAAGAGATCTTAGATTCCATTTAGCAGCAGAATCTAATGCTGGATGAGTATTATCTTCAATCGCGGAGGAAATCATTTCATTATCATCATCTTCTTCATCAGTATTTGCCAATATCTCTATACATATGTCCAAAAACTCCCCAAACCTCTCTTGTAAAGAATCAGAATCAGGCGATTTATCATCATCAAGGTCTTTATCCATAGTAAGATTATTATATTCTTCGGGTCTTGGTTCAATTTCGCTAGATTTCTCAGACTCACCATTATCAAATTTTCTATGTTCTTCAGGATTGATATCCATTTGATTGTCATTATTATCTAGAAGAGTGGGTGGATGCAATTCAACAGGATCTAATCTTTTTGCATGTCCCTATAAAATAGCTGCTCTTAATTTACACATATCAAGGGCTTTTGACAACTATATAAGAAAAAGAAAAAAAATTAATATCAAAATATCAAAAAAATATTACTATATTATCGTGAAATAATGCCAAGGGTAGTTAAAATTTTGGCCTGAATTTAGGCCAAAATTTTAAACTACACACCTGGGTGTTATTTCAAGATGATATGGTAATAAAAATTAAATATAGATATTCACAATTAATCTATTTCTTTGGTCTGTTTGTAGGAAGCCTATGCTACTCCAAAGGTGTTCAACTGCAGCTACATTAACACAAACCCCATATAACTGACAAGCAACTAGCCCCAATTCCATTGTTGAAGACTTAGCATAACTCCAATATTTCTAAATATCACCAAAGTGCTTATAAGAATTATCATCGAATAGATAGATTCCTAGTGAGAAAGCATTAAATTTGTGTAAGATACAGATGGGCTCTTCATCAAACCAGGCTTTATAATAATAAATCAGGTATTTTTCTAATTTTGAATAATTAATAACTGATTTATCTTTAAAATATGTTGTTTGATACTTAGGATGTAATAAGCATGCCAAGATTAAAAGAGGCTGCTCCCAATTATTCCATCTTTTGTCTAATTTATACAAATTTTTTCAGCAAGTTGCATGTCAGTGTGGTTGTCCCAAAATTAAACTAAATATGCGAGACCGTGTATAACATGAATTAATCTCACGTTGTTGCATTGCAAAGTATTTAATATTTTGCAATAAGGGTATAGGATTTCTGCAATTATCATCAAATTCGATTAAAAATAATTTGAGTTAATAATATCAAAAATTTCACGATGAATTGTTAGGTTTTCTCGAGTTCCAGTTTTTTGCCGACTTTGGAAATATTATAGCTGATGGTTAAGCACAAGTATCTATAAAAATAAAATAAAAAAAAAAGTACAAAGTAAATATATTCTTGAAATTGTAGAATATTTGGATCAGAATTAGCCAGGGCGACCACCAAAAGTGTGGACCATGTGATGATTTTATAATAATGTACGATTACTAATGAATTGATTAATAAATTGTGCATTACTCCTAATAGCTGTTCATTTTTCACATTAGTCCAACCATCAAAGGTCAAGGTAATACCAGTTTTATCTTTGTGAAGTGCATCTTGCATTGCTTCATCCTCTTCAGAAACAGCCGCTTCTAAAATTTTTCTACTGAGGGCCAGATGATCTGGAAGCTTAAGATGAGGATTTAAAAATTCAAATATTTCTTTTGCTTCTGGCTTATTCACGAAGTAAAAAGCCCACCCGCAAGATACAGTCAATTTTAATATAAGAACTTTAAATTTTTCATAATCTTGTGGAGATAATGGCTTAACAGCATAGTCGTCAAGTAGTCCATAAGTGGAAGATTGTGTAATAGCCTTTTGTTCATAAGATGAACTGGAAGAAGCTAAAAAAAAAAAAAAAAAAAAAAAAAAAAAGAAAAAAAGTTATTATATTTTAAATAAAAAATCTATCTATAATTCTTACTTGATTGTTTTGTCTGATCATTAGATAAATTGAAAATCTCTTCTCTCTCTTCTGGTGTAGTCTTTTCCGCAAAATGTACACATTTTTTGAGATGATTAATTATATGGTCCATTTTGTTAGAAAAGCAACTTTTTATCTTTTCATCTTCGCCCAATATTTCAATACATGACTTGCAGTAGAATTTATAATTCCACTTATTGAGTTTGTCTTTAGTTTTAATAATGTACTGATCTAATAATGTAGATATTGGCATTTTTATTTTATAAATCTAGATATTTTTAGCTGTTTTGTATTAAAGTAATTTAATTATTAATTATTACAATATATGCAATATCAAACCAGCAAACACATATTATTTTTAATGTCAAACCTATGGTTCTAAAAGGTACATTTATTTTTTTTAAGCAAATTTAGGCTTCTTACTTTTTTATTACTTTATTTAAATATGTTTTTATTTTATATATTTATTTATTTAAGAATGAACACTAAGGAAGTGAATAATGACCTTAGCTAATGATTCTTATATACTTTATCATTTAATCATTTTATTTCTTTTCAATGATTTCCTTTGACTATGACTTTTTAAATACTTTACAGAAAATTTTTTTGCTCCACAAATAAAGATTTTGCAAACACATAGCTAAAAAGGTTTCATTAAATATCTTTTTATTATTATTTTTTTATCTTTTTGCATACATCCCAACTCAAGAATTAGTACTAACAAATTTATTAATCATGTATAAAGGTTTTGGCTGATGAACTACTAATGATCTTACTAATTTTTTTATTTAGACTGGGTCAAAATCATCTGATTTTCATTAAAAAGTTAAGTAACATTTTAGCACTGCATACAGTGTTCTTAAAAATAGTACTTCCTTAATTAAGATCTGGGTGTTATTTATCACCAATCTGGCTTAATTCTTGAATAATACCTGGGATATAACTATATTCAATTTATTACTTTATTATGATATACTGTCCGATTTCTTATACAATACTCGGGGCACTATCAATTTAAAAAAAATGAAGTCCTTGAATAAGACCTCGTGTACTGTATACACTGCTATACGATATATACTAGAAGTTTAGAACTTTAAAGATATGCCAAATTTATCACTCTCAATAACAGATTATAATACACGTATGAATAACTATTATCAAGGTCGATAAATTTGGTTTATCTCTAAAATTTTTATATTCCTAAACTGTCTTTCTAACTTTATTCGAAAATTTAAGAACATTTAATCAAGTTTATCCAAGGTTCAAAGATGGATAAACTTTTAAAGATTGAATTTAAATTGGATTTAATGAATACAAATAATGACGATATTGTTAAAAATGGTAGATAGCCAGGTAATTATATGCTTTGAGATAGATTGCAGAAAGACTGGTGAAAATTTGAAATTTGGTGAGTGCTGGTGAAATTTGTGAAAATGATTATAATACACAATAGATAGGTTGAGTTAAAATATAATGAAACTCGAATTAACTTTGTTTTGAGATTATTATTGCAAGTTTTTTACAAATTTTGTTATCAATTTTAATTAGCATTAGTCTCAATCCTGACCTAGAGACATAGTTGGAATGAAATGGAAGACATATTTATTTTTATGCACTTTGATAGCAGAAATTACGTTCTTAAGACATCAAAGATATAATTATAGCATCTCCTGTCAGTAACGCTGCATATCTATATTTTAATATCTATATTTTAACTCAAAATATGTGTAATTGTATATTTGGGTAAAATGATTATTAATAAGCTTTGGATTTAAACTGGTTTATTTTTCTGAAATCACAAAGTTCTTAATGCCTATATTTATAAATTGTTTGTGTCAAATAAAATAAGGTTCGCTTTAAACATAGAAAAAATATTAGTAATATATTACATATAAAAATTGTTTTCTTACCGTTAACTTGTATTTTGAGTATTTTACAAAATTGGGCATATTTATAAACATGTTCATGGATGTGTCTGTTAGTAATGTTATCCTGCTTAAACTGGTTAGTTTGTGCTTGCAAACATGCTAAACACTGTTTCGATAAACTGGAAATCATACCAGGCTTTTAAACAAAGACTTGCACAAATAGAAATGCTTGCTGGTCTATAATAATCCATTTAAAGAGATATTGGTTTATTTGTATAACCATTTCAGCACTGACATTTACTATTATAGAAGCATTTAATTCGTTGAACCTTTCAGGATGATTAAGTTCAACTTGAGACGTCAAACTTGAAGAGGAAGTAAATTCAATCATATTCGAATTTCATGTATATTGTTTCATTTATTGCATAAAGTTCGAATTGTTCAGGTATAGTTTTTTATTCAGTGCACAAGGTTCAAATAAATTAAATAATAAATAAATTCTTTTTTTTTTTTTAAAAAAAAAAAAAAAAAAAGTCAATTACAAATCAAGAAGTTTTTTGCTTGTCAAATCGATTTCAGATTCAATTTAAGTACAATGAGTTTGAAATATGATAATAAAAATATAAAAACTCGAGTTTAATAGGTTTGGGTTTCAAACTGGGGCTGAACCAAGTTTGGATGAACAGGATAATATGTGTGGACATATATATT